TCCTCTCCTTCCCCTCTCCTTCTCCTCTCTTCCCCTCTATTTCCCTCTCTTCTCTTCCCCTTCTTCTTCCTCTCCTCCTCTTTTTCCTTCCCCTCTCCCTCCCCTCTCCCTCCCTCTCTTCCCCTTTTTTCTCCTCCTCTCCCATTCCCATCAAAAACCCTCTGCAAACCCTCTACAGATCTCCAATCTAATCTAACCTAACCTAATCTAAATGAACCTAAAAGAACCTAAAAGAAAAGAAAAGAAAAGAAAAGAAATAAAAGAAATAAAAGAAAATATAGTCAAGTGAACTGAAATAAACTGAAATATAATCGAGTAGATAATATACCGATACTCACAGTACTCACAGTAAATAATGCACTTTTTACTTACTTACTCACTAATATTATATGCAAAATGGACTCGTTCACTTACTTACTCATTCACTTACTCACCTATACACAAACTCATCCATATACACATACACACATACACAAATCCATACACACACCCACACATACACACACCAGCACCCAAGCAAAGCAAAATATAAAAGGAATTTCATTTCCATTGTTCTTAAACTTAATATTCTGTATTTATCTCAGCATACCGCCTTATCCTGTTTCCATTCCATCCCATACCATTCCATTTCCATCCCATTCAAAGCTAGCTATATCATAGTATGTTATGCTATGCATTCACACTTTCGCCCTCACGCACTCCCACTCCCTCTCCAATCTCAATCACCCATGCACTAGTTCACTCACTCGCTCACTCACAAAGCAAAGCAAAGCAAAGCAAATCCTGATCCCCCAAACAAACCCACCCCAATCTAAGAACGAAACCCGTACCACTTCCCACTTCCCACAAAACCCCCTATCCTCTCCAGGGGTAGGTAGCAAAGCAAAGCCCTCAAAGTAAAAGTGCAACTGGCAATTCTCCCTCCGATGCGTGTGATGTGATGTGTGCATGCAAAGAACCGCCCATCCATCCACCCAACAATGAAAATGAGAATGATCAAAAGAATCCAGACCCAACAACCCAACACCCATATGTAAAATCTCCCTAACCAGAGGTCCGGTTCCCTGGAAAAAAAAGTGTACCTTGTATGTACTGTAAAAAGAAAAAAGAATCATCCAAAACGCCTCGCTGATGTGTCGCATGTGATGGGAAAAAAACATAAGCTGTCGAGTTTTTCGATGCTGGTCCTCTGGTATAAATCATAATGTGAACCTGCCCAAACGCCTGTCCCAAAGGACAAAATAAGTCGTGAAATCGTGTTTAAAGAGAGTAAGAAGGTGTAAAAAAGGTCGGTTGTCCGGGACTAGGACAAATGGGAAGATGGATGTAAGGGTTACCCATTGTCAGACTTGTAGATCATCAACATGGGGTTTCATGTTAACCTTCACATCCCTATCACATCCCTATCCCTAGTCCCTCCATCAATGACAGAAAATATTGTTATTTCTTGCCAGTCTTCTTACCCAGTCGCATGAACCGAGTTCTCAACCACATCATGAGTTTTGTCCAAGCACTGTGTGTTTTCTTCTTGGTATTTGACATTGCAGTATGACTTCTGCCTGGTGAACCAAGTTCTTCAGCGATAAACGGAGGAGTAGAAATTGATGCGGTATTGTAATTCTGTCCATAAAGTCCTTCAACTTTCTCATGTATGGTAAGATCAGACTTAGATCGCTTTGGTCGTGTAGCTGCATTGTCACTAGCAGACGAACGACGATGTCCTCTTTCAATCTGTCTTGCTTCTTTCTGTTGTTTCTTTTCCATTACTCGAATCTCCTCCCTTGCTGCCTTTTCTTCTTTGGCTTTCTCTTTCTCTTGGAACTTTCGACGTGCCTCTTGTATAGTTTCCGAACGCAGACGATTATCAACTTCGCTGCGACTGCGAATTCGAAATCCTTCCATGGACTGTCGGAGAGATGGTGAAGTGAGTGACATGGTATCGAGTGGTGAGGTCAGCTCGGGAGATAGGGCGAGACTTGTATGTGAGGTCGCAAGAGCAAGTCTTGAGGAGGTCGGAGGTAGCTTTGTTTGAATTCTTAGGGTTTGCTGCAGCATAGGATTTGTTGAACCAGTTATTGAGTTTGCTTGATTCGATAGATTGGCTGTACTACGGAAAGTATGCCGTAACTGATCCTCATCTTCGGTAAGTGCAGGACTGCTGTTTGTTGCTTCACTTTCGCGAATTGAGTTTTGATAAGAAGCAGCTAAGGGTGGAGTGTATGGTCTCGGTGTTTGCTGGAAAGGATGTATAAATGATCCGGCACGTTGGCCACTGCCTGTTGTTGCTGTTGAAAATTGAGATGTGCCACTGGTTGAGCGAGCATGAAATCCTCTTCTTCCCCCTTCTCTACTGTTGTATGCAATGTCGTGAGAGGAACGGGAAGTGTAGGCAGCGCCATAATCAAATATCCCGAGGCCATCCTCTTGTTCCGCAGCTGGTCGATCCAGGTCTAGTGAATTCTTTTCGCTCTGTATCAGTTTTTTAAAAACGGGTTTGACCTTTGACCTAGATTTCGATGCATGTTCTCCATGATAACTGGGCATTGTTTCGATGGGGAAACGGTGAGAGTAATGATAACAATAAAACAATGGCAATATAGCAATAAATAGCAAGAACTAACACAAATCAAAAAATCAAAGAGATACAACTCTCAGTCCCTTTACAGAGACACTGAATATCATCTATTTTGCATCACTGCTTTGCAGAATGAAGTTGTACAATACAATCAAGTGAATAAAGATTGATGCACGAGACAAAAATCGATAGACCGCCCCGACCGACCACCCCCTTTCGCAAAGACCGGTATGGGTAAGAATTGGAATGTAAATCAGTTGTCGCGATAATGATAGCCCCCTTCTTTTATCAAATATCGGAACGGAACTGCTGGTTATGCTTCTTCGAAGGATATTTAAAATGAATAGATAAATGAATTGATAATAAATTCCAATACCTAGTTATTGTATTGTATTGTATTGTATTGTGATATGTTAATAAATAAGGGTATTGATTGAGATGAGATAAGATGAGGGGATGAGATGAGATGAGTTGAAGTTTTGATTTTTGTTTGTGTTTGTTGTTTTGAGTTGAATGAAATGAATAGATAGATGTTGATTTGGTTTTTGGGGTTAGTAATAGTATAATAAGTAGATAGTAAAGTATAGTAGTAATAGGTAAGGTTTAGAGGTAAGTAGAGTTAGAATTGGAACTGGAATTGGAATTCTTGAACAAACAATAAATGAATCAGCCTCCATCAACTTAACAACTTAAACATACATATTCAGCATACCTGAAGCGGCGCAGGAGTTTTTAGCAGGCTTTTTCATACGACGCTTTTTTTTCAAAGCCATCCTTTGATTCATTCATCCATCCATGTTCCATCCATTCAGGACTCAACTCTTTGATGTTCTAAGCCAAAGCCCCTTCAAGCCTTCCAACTTCCAAGCCTTCCAACCCCTCCAAAACCCCTCCAAAACCCCTCCAACTCCAAGCTATTTACATCGCCCACTTTGGAGCATGTGGATGGATGGATGAGTTCGTATTTGTACAGGAGTATTCGTATGTACTGTCTTGTCTGTATTTATGTAAAAAGGTAATCTGTTACTAGGCAAGTACTAATTAGAGTACCAACCAGTAAGTAAGTATTCTTCATACTTAGCATGCCTAGATGGTAATTTGGCCGAGACTCCAACCTTTTTTTACTTATTACTCTCCTCACTCATTGATTGATTGATTGTATCCGGCTTTCCCGAGTTGTGAACTTCCAAATGTTGGTTGGTTAGTTGGTTGGTTGGTTCATTGGTTCCATGCCAGTGGTAACATGAATAAGCGATGAAAATGTAATGGAATCGATAACAGTATGAGCTGACAGCTCCAATTTGTTTGAGCCTTTGAGGAGTGGGAGTTAAGTTCTTTAAAGACAAAAATCAAGGTCATGGTTATAGTCAGTCATAGTCAGTGTCAATCATGGTCATAGATTAAGTTAGGTTAGATGGTTAACAATGAGTGTGAGTGTGATGAGTATGAAGCTTGAGATAATTGGTTGTTATATTATTAGGTTACGAACCTACTTTTGGCAGGCTATGTCTATGGAGTTATTTGAAGGGTTGAAAAAATCAGTATGAAGTGGGGATCAAGTAATGAAGATCTCGACATGGTTGACGGATATTTAGATGAGGAAAAAGGAAGCATATATGGAGTACTCGAGTACATAAAAGAGTGAAACAATCTTCAGCCTGTCTTCCAACAACTGACAACACTGTTCAATCTATTATTAATTACTTTGGTTGGCTGAATATGTGGCTACGTATAAGAAGAAATGGATATACAGTACATATACTGAGGTTGATATAGGTACTGTACAGTGTACCCCTTCATTGAGAGATAGTCGTCGTGGTCGTGATGATTCACCTCGGAATGCGTTGGTGGTGGATAAGGCCGCCGTCTTCCAAATTTCTCCGACACGGGGAAGTACCGGTACTGCAACGGACCATTCTCAAGCGACCATGTCACTCCTTTCATGTCGGTCAAATGTTCAGTCGTGGTCAAATATCCGCTTCTCTACTCCAGTACCTATTTCTTTCGCTTGCCTGGACCGCTTGATGACGGGGTAATTGTGATCTGGAACTCTAAAGACTGATCTTGAATTAGTCTAGTCCTCATATACTAGAGGGGAGGTTTCGGCAGATATGGAGGTACCTCGTTACGGATGGATGGATGCGCCGATACGGAAGTCTGGAGTAGGTAAAGTATTCACAATACATATATATGTATCTAGTAAGATAGTAGGTGCGTACCCAGTCACCCAGGTCTGTACAGTATGAGCCGAATGCAACAGGAACATCGAACTCTACCGGCTATGGATTGTCTAAATCGGGACAATTGAGGTCTTGAACGGAAGGACAATTGTACATCTAATTCTATGTACCTGGCCCAAGGTCAAGACGACGCAAGCTGTCTCATATCTAACTTTATTTCAATATGATCTATCAAGTCAAATTCAACGTTCGGCGGCGTGCAATTGGTTGAAATATGAAAGGTCCGTTTGTTGCAGCAGATAATGCATGGGGGGGGGAAAATCTTCATACTTCCCGAGTCCCGACCTCGCAGTTGTATGTAGGTAATCCTGTCGGTCTTTTAACACAACAGATGTAACACTGACTCGGGTAATTTACTCCTTTCCATGCAATGTTCACCGTCCTACAAAGCCACTATCACAACAAATAATAATAATAACAATAATGCCAACTTCCCCCCACAATTTATTAAATTCTAGTCATCAATTTGTGCTTGAGTAATATCACTAAGTTGTGGGGCCGTCCATTCCATTCACAAAACTAAGGAAGGGTACAGGCGTGAGTTATACTGGTAAGTGCAGATTTATGCAAATACCCTCAGTTTTCTACTTGAAACGGGGGAACTGAAGCTATTCGCAACCCCAAAGTCAAGGCGAATCTCAAAATCACTCCTCAGATAGAAGGGGGAGAGCATTTAGTCGTTAGTGACATCAACCTCCATCTATTTACTGTATTAGGACTATGGTTTCACTACAACACAAGTACTTTGTTATACGTCGTCCTGTCACATTTGAAGGATTGAGGCTTGATATCTTATAGCGATATACATACTCTCGGGAACTGTACAGTACTAAATGTCATTATGTACCCAGGATATATTTGTTGCATGAACTTGATGGCCGTGCTCGAGTCCTTCACCTGTTTCTGTAGTCATTTGCGCAATCAAACAACTGGGGAATCATTGTAATAATTCCTCTCATCTCCATTATCTCGATGATGGCAAGGGAAAGTACTAGGGTGAGGGAGTTTTCTCTATCGATCACTTGCATGAAGTTTTAGAACTTACGTCCGTTTCTTTTGCCGCTTTGCGAGGTCTTCCGCAAGACGCAATCCTAAAGTATAATTGTTGATGAAAGATGCTGGTCAAGGAAGTAAAAAGGGAGTAATATAAGATGTAGATCACGGACTTGAGGCTATTTTGTGATGGGATCATGGATTCATGATGCTAACCTTCCGCTACCTTATCTTGAAGTATCAAGGATATTCCTCACCTCAGGGTTGAGGGTTCGAGAATGATATGTGTATACTTTTGCTTTAGTACTGGTCTACTGGATACTTGCTGCAATATGTGCAAAATTCTTCACTCTGCCCCATTTTCATTGCGTGTGCGACGATGTCACTCAAATATGGCGTACAGCAACTGAGCAAGCAACTTGAAGCAAGCAACTTGAAGCAAGGCTGTCAGCCTGTCAGTGCAGTAATAAAAATCATATTCACAATTTTTGCACACAGTACCAACCTCAATGTATATCCTCGCCTTTGCTGGCCGCTTGTCATTTGGTTGTGGTCCCCTTGATGGATTTGACTCCGCTCATCCCACCTAGGTAAGTTTCCAAAAGGTACTTCCGCCCATTACTCGTTGACTTGCAGTCTGCAGATGATGATGATGATGAGGATCAACGATACATGGATGAAGCCTGTAACTCTAGATCACGTCGATGCTAGTCTTTTGAGCGGCTTTCTCAAACCGTCAAAGATCTAAACATCTTAAGTTAAGCATCGGCCAAGGAAGGAGTGGATGATGCTACAATGCAATGTGCATTGATGATGGAGGGGTAAAGAAACCAATTGAGGACAACACTGTACAGCACATGCCACCAGGTGTTCACTGCCGTCCCCGTTTTAGTACCCCCAACTTAGAAACATGGGCACTTCCGAGCCTGCAATATGTCTACATTATACATGACAACGACATTGAAAGTACATGGGATTATGTCGCTTCCATGCTGTATCACTCGGGGAGGCAGAGCTCATGCTTCCGTACCCAGATTCAAACACAACCTCTGGTAACATGGAAAATAATGGCAGAGCTCATCTAGAATTTTTATGGCGGGTCATCCCGTTATCTGGAGTGGAGTGGAAGCGTTATAGCTTAAATAATAGTTTTCCAAAATTGCTCTGTTAATCTTCGGTCAATCGGCCATACGATAGGAATAAGATGAACATAGGTATAGTAGTGTAGAACATAGAGGCTTACATTAGTATTAGATATAAGTACCGTAGTACAGTAAAAGCACATTAGATAATCCAATCCGTATTGAGGCCATATTCCTGTCTTATAGCTATACGAACTTGAGCCTCGACTATCCGTTGGAAAGAATACTACAACAGCTAATGTGGTGACCCGATTATTACAACAGTATATACTTACATGTGTACGTACCTCAGTGGCTGGTAATACAGTACGTACAAATAGTATCTACTCCAAGTACTTGTTAATCCGATATCAGTAAAATAAATGTCTATTATTTGTTTGATTTGTCTCAACTTCTCCACACTCTTTCGCGCGCTTGAACTCACGGACTCGGCCTCGACCATAGTGTCCACTATCTTTAGCTTTTTATATTTGTATACGTTTATTAGCTTTATAGTCAGAATATTAGAATCGAGCTTCACCAAGGTATATATTCATCCCCGCTCGTTAATTGGTGTGTCTCACTTTGTCTGTGCCGAAAAAAACTATCCACGGCCCCCTGCCTGCCAAATAAAAGACAATGTTATTTGTATTACAAGTACGGACTTCCAGCGAGTCATTCCATATCTCTTGCTTTCTTCTAATCCGCTAATCCATTAATAAATGGTGTGTTGGAATTAGACTCGGAATGCACGACTGATAGGGAATAATTTGATATCGAGGCGGCAAAAGCGTGAACGAGAAAGATTAACATAACTTTCGGTTTCGTATTGGTTTTGGCAGTGAATTACTAGGGTTATCGTATAACAATACAATCAGAGAAAAGAGACGTTGAGCATATGCTCAAGCATGTTCAGGATATTTGTTCCTCCGAGACAACGAGCCGTCGGAACAATTGACTCTACATCGACTGGGAGGCTCGGAGAATGTTCCGTACAGTACCTCACATACACATACAGAAAGGATTGGCTCACCTAAAGGTAGGTACAGTATGGATAACGTCGAGATCACGTCGCATCAAATTGAATGGTGGAGGAAACAAGACATGGAAAATAACTAACGACAACCATCATGTTGATGAGCGGTAGTCATAACACATGATGTGAGAAAATAGCTTCGCCATGAGCCCTTTTTCCGGATTGATATGTCAAAGTATTCGACGACTGACGTTTCTTAGATGGTCATCCCCAGCTCGTGATAGTTCTGATTTTTCACCAAGTTTCTATCTCAACGTATGGTTGCAAATGTTTCGTTTTGACGTTTGTAGTATTCGGCTCTATGAACTCCATAACCATTCTTCCACCAAGTTGCCCCTCTTGTGGACGGCAAATGCAAAGGGTCCATCATGCTCATCATTTTCATGCCGTGATACCCTAGTCTATGACTTAGATCGAACCACGGCCTCCCTTTGGCAGCTGCATCTGAGGTGACCAAATTTGGAGAAAATTCGAGCCGTGGAGGTTGATTGAATCTCAACGGCCGGAAAAGCCTCGTCGTTGAGACTTCCCTGTAGAAACACTGGAGAAGGATACGAAGCTTCGGAACATATTCGCTAATGTTGATGGAAGTGTGAAAGTGTGAAAGTGTCAAAGGCGTCTTTTAAAGAAGGCTAAGATATCCAAAAGCAGGCGCCTGCAGCGGCCGATTTGTCTCGCTTGTAGATAACCCCGGTCGACCACAATTGCGCAAATGACAGGCTAACTAGTGTTTTCTACAGGTAATTTACCAAGCATAGAAGCAGGCATACTATGGATTGAAGACAAGCATCTTGTTCCTATACTTCTCGAATGTACCTAGGTTCTTACTTATACCTATTACCTAGGTGATTCTATTTAGGTCAACGATCCATAGAAAACGGGAAGATAGACACTGACAATATTTGCCCATGAAATCAGCCTGAAGGCCATCTGAATTTGACGCGTATCTCATCACAGTGATCACATAAGTTAGGTTATCAGTAAGCAATTGACCAGTCAAACTCAAACTCACCATAGATATGAAATCACACCCAGAAATAATCCTACAGACTCTTTCCTCTTTGATTCGGTACGATATACATCAGATTACCGATGTACCTCACGCATAGCCTATTCCGTCCTCCCATACAATTTACCAAGGTACAGTATCCTAAACCTATGCAGACACTAAAAGCACTCTAAAGTAGGCACCCCTACCTACCTACCTAGGTAGATAATATAATCCGCCCGCCTAGCTGCACCACCCACTCGCTTCCACTAGGGTCTAGCACGCACTCCACCACCAACATTCAATCCTCCCACATCCACAATGCCCATCACTCGCGCTTGAGATCCAGTTTTCATGATTTTGAAATTCTTGCAGTCTGTCTTACATATCGAGTTAGAGCCTATACCATTGGATTCATTTTATCCCTTTTCCTTCGTTGTTGCAAAAAAGTGGCGCCCGGCAAACGTTTACTGAACCGAGTGTACACTGTACAGACAAGTATCAACAACTGATGAAGGGGAAAAGTCGGCTAGCAATCTAGATAGCCGGGCGGACTAGACTACTCAGCACTAATATTCTGTACGAAATACTAAATTATCTTTAAAGTAGTACATATATATAATCTTTAAATAACTACTTTCTTATTCCAATTTCATTATAATCTTATAAAACAGTTAAAAATAAACAATTTATTATTTAGTAATTTATATACTTAGTAAAAGAGTATTAACTAAGTAAAAATTAACTCAAAAGAGATTAAAATACTAAAACTTTGACTCTTTAGATAAATATAGAGTATTTGAAATAAACAATTAAATCTGAAGATTATATTGAGATTCGAAATAATATAAATAATAACAATAATAGTTGTTTTAATTTGGTATATATCTATTAAGAGATAAGACAAGCTAGAAGATATCTATCGGAGTATTATTATTAATGAAGTCTCGCGTGCTATCTCTAGACTTCCCAAAACAAACATCCAACCAAGCTTCTTCCCCACCCCACCCCCAGTAAACATACCCAGAATGTACAAGTATATTCTAAGAGCTTTAATAGCCCCAGATCAGTTCTGGTACTAATGGCTTGACTCAATCTCATCAAATCCATGGAAGGCTCAAACGGTTCAAATGGCACACCAGACGCACATTCTGCTCAATGCTCGCAGAACAAGCGCTGCTAAGTGTCTCCAGATTTTGATCCACACTTCCATCTCGATCCCTGATTCCCTGATGCATCCGTCCCAGTCTTCCTAATAAATTGCTAACGCTTGCTTAACTTGCTATGTACAGTAGCAGAAGGTTAAGGACAAGAGGGAAAATGTTATAACTGCTCGGGTCCAGCCGTGTGGTCTTGTTGTTGGCTCAGTCCTATATAGACCTCGTCCAGACCCTCATGTCCACCTTCGAAGCAGCATGATATCTCATTGTCCTTCTCTTATATTGTTGTGGTAGTGTCATTTTTGTTTCAAAGGGAAAACCGCTTCTTCGCAACTGTATATTTATCCAATTGAACTTCAGGTACACGAGGATGACAGTCGTTTGGTGATCTCTTCGTCTCTATTGTCCTTCGTTTGTTGCTTGAATATATATTGGCAGGTTTTCTTTGGAGAAAAAGTTTTTGGTATTTTGGTCTTTGGGTGCAAACAAAATAAAGAACTACCATACATAACCCTCTACCACATTTCGAGGACTTTCATGGCTGGATTCCAGTGAAATCGCTTTTCCTCCTAAAGAAAGAAGATTTCCCATCTTAATTTTTCTGAGATACGAAGAATTGATTTCTACCTGACGGGCAAACATATCCAACAACCCAAATCAGTCCTTCTTTGACGACTTCCTTCGTTTTCGCGCATCACCAGAAACTGCCCTCGAGACCCTTCATTCCACGTCCTCCCTCTACAACATTTATCGGCATCATTTGACCAACGTCGAAGACACCGGTCCAGTCTTATCTCTATACGTTACAGTCCACCAGAATCCTTAAAGAACCATTGAAAGTTTCCGGAATCCTATCATATATGTGTTACGGGTCTTCTATAAAATCCTTCATACTTTCGAATCGGGTCAAAATCGCTCACTTCCACAAACCTTTCTTTCGACTTCACCATTCGCCATTATAAAAGACTTCTGTTTCCTCAGTTATCTTGCTTGAAACATTACAGGAGTCTTACACGCCAAATTTGGGTAACCTCTCCTCGCGCCTATACCTTACGAAAGTTCTAAAGCTACTCAACTGATCCCTGTGACGTTGGATTCGTACCTCACTTGACCTCCGTGGACCGTTTTTAAAGAAAGCTCCTTGTTCTCTTCATCTTTATACCCCTACTATCTTAATTTCGAGAAGCAGAAATGGTTTTACCTAGTCTAGATTTATGGCAATGGGCCTTCTTAATATTGTGGTAAGTTCAGAATCTTCCATTGTCACATTTCCTACTCCCACTCCTATTCCTACTCCCACCTCCGCGTCCTTTGCGCCAATGACTTTGAGAACTAATAGAGGGAACAATAGGTTCCATCGTTATGTCCGACTTATCGTCAATGCGATCAGCCATTGGGTCTACAGCACAGTTCCAATACCATCGAATCCTTCTTTCACATCCAAAGATGTGAGCGTCATAATACCTACAATCCATAATAATTTCGTTGAATTGAGGGACTCTCTACAGAGTATACTCGCATGCCAACCAGCCGAGCTCATTCTAGTCACCACAGCCGACAAATATCAAAAGCTTGTGCACTTTTCCAAGTCATTGGAGGCCAATAATGTCAAAGTATACTTTGCCCCAATCGCAAACAAACGCATTCAAGTGTGCGAGGTGATTCCGTATGTGAAGACGCGCATCTTGGTTGTGGCAGATGATGATGTCACGTGGCCAAGAACAATACTACCCTGGTTACTTGCACCTTTTGAGGATGCAAAGATTGGCGGTGTTGGACCATGTCAACGAGTCAAACGGGTACGCGACGGCACCTTCGCAGAACGCGCATTCAATTGGCTTGGAGCTGCTTATATTGAAAGACGCAACTTTGAGATTTCGGCCACCCATGGGATTGACGGTGGAACATCCTGCATGTCAGGGCGAACTTGTGCATTCAGGTCCGAGATTCTGCAGAGTCCTCTTTTTCTAGATGGATTTAAGACCGAAAGATGGGGCCAATATCATCTCAATGCTGATGATGATAACTTTGTCACGAGATGGTTGGTCGCAAATCAATGGTCGACATGGATTCAATACAACCGAGAATGCGAGATTGAAACGACCCTTGAGAACAATTTCAAATACTTGTATCAATGCTCGAGATGGGCTCGCAGCAATTGGAGAAGTAACTATACCAGTTTAGTCACGGAGAGACACGTTTGGCAGTAAGTCGGATCCCTTTCCGTTCGATCACGAGAAGAATATTGTGCTGATCATGTATGTGTACAGTCAACAGCCTTGGTGTGTGTATGCTTTGCATGTTGCCACCTTTACCTCCTTGTCCTTCGTCTTCGATCCTCTCATCATCTTCATCTCATTGAAGGCGACTGCATCCTGGTCCCCGCATCATCAAATGATTGCAGTGATTGCTCAATTGGTATTCATGCTTACGACAAAGGTCGTGAAGTTGATCGGGCTCTTCATCCGAGAACCCAAAGATATTGGGTTACTTCCGGTCTCCATTCTCTTCGGATATTTCCACGGGTGGATAAAACTATATGCACTGCTGACACTTCGGATGGTAAGCTACAGCCCCGCACTCACATGTTTCCCCTTATTGCATTCATTTCAATTCTCAATTTCGGCCAGATGCTAATAATCCTTGCATAGACTTCGTGGGGCAGTCGTGCAGACGGAGATGCCAATGATAGCCATCGTATGAGTCCTCGAGCACGCCGCAGCGAAAGCATTACACTTCCACCGGGTAACCACCCGGGTCTCATCCGCTACAAAGACGAAGTGCAAGTGGGAGCACCCGAAGCATTCGAAGCCCACAACATCTCATGTTCGGAAAAGTCGAGCTGCGCACTCCTACTGGAGCCTAACCCCTACCCCATCCCGGAAGATGAGTACGACGAATCTTTCGTCGACGAGAGTAATCTCGATTCGGCTTCCGATGCTTCTTACGATGCAAATGATTCCCATGATGATGATGTCTTTCTTTCTCATTAATTTCTTGAGGAGGCAGTCGTTGAAAAGTAAATCCCCCCAAGACGCTAGTGCAGCATTGTCCTGGGGGCGATAACTTTTCTATTGCTTGTCATTTTACATGCGTTGTCTTATTGTTTCAACGGTTTCTTCAAAATTTCAGACCCGCGTGCGCACGCACGCGTATTAGGGTGATGGAAAAGATTAACTGGGTTATTGGTTTCTACACAACATATTCTTGCATTTTCTCGGCGTTTATCCCTCGTTTTCTTTCTTTGAAAAAAGATGAGAAGGCATGGCAGCTGCTTTAGGATATCGATGTATATACTGACATCTCACACATCAAAATTGTATAGTTTTTTATATTTTTTATACTTTTTCTATTTTCGATCTTTACATCATATTATTCATTTTTTCATTTTTTTACTAGGATGAAAAAAAATCATTGTCAAAAGTGTCAAGCTGTTGGGCTATAAGGACGTTCTCGAAAAGGAAAAAAAGGCCTTCATTTCATTAGCTTTTTCTCATTACTTAATTACATATAACGATGGATGGACTGGAAACAAGGAAGACTCTTATGCAGGAAGGGTTCTGCAGTCAAAAGGGGAATGTGGTCTGAGGAAGAACGAACAATACTTGGTCATGGAAATGAGGGCACACTACAGTCATCTGATCTGATCGAATTAAACCATATATAATAGAAAAATAATTTCAACAGCAATATGGAAGAGAAGAGAAGAGAAGAGAAGAGAAGAGATGCGATAATCTGGTAGAGAGACCAGCAAGCTCACAGACATGACATGTAGCTGGAAAATGCAATCAAAATATCGTTCGAGTATTCCAAACTTCCACACTTGACTGGCGACGCAAAATGCGCGTGACCCCCAATCCATGGACAACTCGTATCTCTTGGCATCTTCCTCTTCTCTCCTTTCTCCTTTCTCTCCATCATGATCATCAATGTTATTCTGCGCAATATAAAAGATAAGACGACTCAAACACTAACGAACACCCATCTTCCATTCCATCTTCCAAGAATAACTGGACGTTTCATACATACCTACACATCTATTATTTTGTATTGTATATCTATCTGTGTCAGTGTGTGTGTTATGTGTGGACATACTTTGGTAATAGAGAGACAAGACATGGATTAAAAAAGCACATTTTGGACGTGACCGATCATCGATACATACACAGCTGGTGGCAACGTACGTTACGTTACGACCGATGTACCGAATTGGGATGGAAGTCTGGAGGAAAGAAAGCAAGGCATGTTAGGTTGGGATGAAATTGATTTGATGATGAAGCTTGGGATATCGTATGTATGTTATGTATTCATTCAGGTGAATCTGTGTGTATGTATATAGGTATGTATGTATGTGTAACGCATTTGCATTTGCATGTTTTTAATGTACTGCTACCCTATCTATTCTACTGTACTGTATCTGTACCTGTATATGCTATGCTGGAATGACAATGACATGACATATCTCTTGGCCTTGGCGTGTCTAACTTAATCGGATGTTACGCAAAGTGTGGAAGCCCTGGAGGGGTGAGATTTTAATTTGTTCGATGTGTTTGGGGTTTGGTAGGATGGGATGGGACTATGTTGGAGGAGAAGAAGATGGAGGGGGTGATTGATTGTAAAGTTATAATAACGCTTTGGAGTGAATCGGAAATCAAGGTGGGAAAATATCCGTAACAGACAGGTGTTCATCTTTCGTGAACAGTGGGTGTAGATAGATGTGTATATGTATACGTGCATAATGCATATGCAATGTAGCTACCAGGGGTGGGTGGTGCGGTTATGAGTAAAGGGGTTAATTATTTGCGTGGTATGAAAGTTATCTAGGTATTTAGGTGGCCTTTTGTTTCGGTCTGGACTGATTGAATAAGTATAAGTATAAGTCACTGAAGAAACAAGATATATCCCTAAGTAACACTGATTGTATGGTAGTGCATCAGGTAAATGCGCCCAAGAAACGGAGAAACATGGATTGCATTACTTGGAAGCCATATTAATGCACCGTTCACCATTCGAATTATGCACGCAAAACGGCATGTGCATGGCAACATAGAGTGTGTAAGCCAACTGGTGTTCGCTCGGGATTTCATAATGTTGATATGTGTTCGGGGTATACGAGAAAAGAGAGAAGAGGAATCTTGTGTTACATTCGGTATATCTCTAATGCGATTACATACATACATTACATCCGAGTGAAACTCGGCATCGAAATGCCCGTTTCGTCAGTGGATGATATTGGCCCCAAAGATCGGGTGTTTGTTACCAGGCAAGATGAATGTTTGTCCCGCCCGCGACCGAAGATATGTTGGGTAAATGATTCATCCATGAATAGGGGAGAAGATCGCTCAGGTTGATTGTGGGGCCGAGTTGTCATTCATGTAGATTAATTTGAGTTTACTGATGTGATGAATCATGGATGCAGCGAGCTTTCTGTTGCTCAGAATACTGTATCGTCGGGAAGTAGGCAAGCGGAGTCGGGGAGAGAACAAGGAAGCTGTTGGCGTAGACAGGTAATGAATATAATATTCAATCCTCGTATGAATGAGCGAAGAAGATCTAAATCTGGAAATCGAAACACTATTTAAACGATCCAGAGGCTTTGGATAAGTTCTGTGGATTCGAACCTGGGGTATAAAGACATAGACTAGTTGAAATAGATGAAGAGAATAGAAATATCATATTCACATGCCGACTTTGTGCTTTCTAAATATGAAAGGTTTTGGATCCAATATGACGAAACCACGACAGATGATTCCCCCGCAATCATGGCGTTGATTGGAAAAGGTGGGGGAGGACGAGGACGGGGGCAACCCTCCATTTTTGGCGTTTTTAAGAACATGTAGAATTCAAGAAGTACGAGATTTTCACTCATACATCAGGGCATAATTCATATCATGGGCGGATGTGTGGAGGTTAGGATAAAATTCAACACGTGAAGATGGATGTACAAGAAATAAGAGGCTGTCTGAAGAGTGAGGATTGTCAAAGTCCCTCTCATGTACTATAATAACTTTAGATCGAATGGACCTGCATTTTCATGCAATGGTGGCTGGGTGTTACATGTGCTTCCTACGGGAAACGTGAAAACGTATGATCTGAGGCACTTGACTATTTGTCAATTAAAGATATATGAGGAAGTAATGTCGGGCTGTAGGGGGATGTGGAAAACATACCCTTTCAAGCGTGATGTGCATGTCACAATTGTTGGTGATTACAGACGATTTTACCATGGTTCATCTCGTCTGATATATGGCCAATCGAGTTGTAGACAGGGGTTTTGTGGGGGAATGTTCAAAAGGGGAAGGAAGCTGTGGAGAAAGGGTACTGCTGCTAGAATATAAATCTTACTTGGGCGATATTCCTTCGTTGATAACCATGCACTTGTATAGGTATAGTACATACAGATCATCTACCTACCTATCTCCGTCCCAAAAATGTTGCGGTTATAATGAAGCACGATGATGTACTAGGAAGGAGGGTAGCACGATATGTTCAAGGTTCCCGGGGCATTGTAAACTTTCACAGCCGTTATTAGACGCGGCAGGGTATTGTAGACAATGAACTAAACGAGGATTGAGTAATTGGGCCGACTTCAAGTAGGTCCCGAGGGAAAAGCTCTTTTACCCGCTAGTTTAGTTTGAATGTCATGGTATGTGAGTCGATTGGGCCTTATTGATATGGATTGTTCGACGAAATTAGCAGAACATACGAGGTCTTTGAGGCTTGACTTAGTCCATTGGAAAGACAAGACCTACTAAGAGAGCCATCGGCTCTTCGGTCAATGACATCCGATTTTCCTGCCGAGTAAACCTGGATTTTGCCGACTCACGGCTTTGATTAAATTCTGTGTGCTTAAATTCACGAATCCTTTTCTTATCGCGCCTTTCTCGGTCGATGGCTAGAAGTCGCGATTCCAATTATCCTTGCTGCCATTTTATGTGCCTTGGCCGTCAATAGGTCCAGTATTTCACCCCCATGCGTAGTAAAAAACGAACGCGCATGGAATCTCGGACATAGCTCTTCAATCATGCTGTGTAGTAGGAAGAAAGAATTCTGTCGATAACTAGAATCAATGATATGTGGAAAGCCGTCATTGCCCCATGCAACTTTGGAAAATCAAAAGTGTGAGTAGGATCAAAGTATATGATTTTATCCTCATTCGAGTATAAGTATGGTCGATCATGATAAAGTGCTTACAGTTGTATTCTGGTAGAATACAGCAAATCTAGAACGGAACTCCAAGCTTTCTCCATCAAATGCAATACCCTTAGAAGTACCGCACCACGTGGCCTGAATCAACCCCACGCATCAATGCATGAAATACCGACAGGTCTTATATAAGGGTCCATTTGAGATACTCTGACTGCAGGCTGTAATGAACCGGATCGTACTCCCGTTCTCCCCCGAGACGTTTGACGGACCCGCGTAGATGTATTAGCCTTCGCTTTCTACCCGTCCCGCTAGAAACAAAATGTTCTCTTTCATGGCCAATGTGATTTCCCCTTGGCCGGTATAAACATAGGCGATTGTGTCAACCCATGCTTCCGGGCTGGGTAAAGGGAGATCGATGGAATCGCCCTTGCGAATATGTCCTGATAGCATCAAAGCTGCCAAAACGGGAAGATAATGTAAAGCATACTCTATATCTGCAATGAACTTTTAGTCATATTATACAAGATCTACAGCGTTGTTGCTCATGGGGGACTTACGGATTGGTACTGCCACGTCATCGGTATTGATCTGCCTTCTAAGATGAGGGTGTACGGTCCCACGTTGATTTTGGGTAGGAATCTGCTGCAAAGACAATCGACGAAGCCTACTAGACCTTCTTATAGTCGCTAAGCCCCGTGGGTGTTCCTGACTCGGCCGAGGTGCTGGTATGCTGTCTCTCAATTTTCGAATATCAAATTGCCTTTGAATTAAGAAAGGCTTGCGCTCAACTGCTTTGGGTAGTACCCTCGCACGTATCGTCACCTGATCCGACGATCTAAAGGACTCATGGACGTCTTGTTCTTTTATTATCACTAAACTTGGTCGCCGTAGGCTGACTGCATTGACAAAAGCATCAGCCGTAACAATGTTTCCGAAATAAGCGTGACCCCAGGTTTGCAAGCGGTCATGGGTATACTGGAATGGGACACGGTGCGTTGGATTGGAGGGGATCAGGGTTTCGGAATGTCGCCTGGCATCAGAGGTGCCGATAACGGACGCCCCTTTTGACCCAGCATCGATGAGACGAGTTTCGGATTCTTCTAGATGTTCACTGGTGAGCCGAATTTCCGGAATAACCTCTACACTGCACGCAAAAGATGCATTGCCTAAGAATGCTGTGTTTTCTGCCAGGTTCCCCATTGTAGAGTATCTTCTGGGAATCTGCTGCACTTCGGTCAAGCTACCACGCCGCGACCCTGCGTCACCCTTCCACCCGATTGGTTTTTGGTATCGTGAGGCATAAGCCCGTGCTGCCACCAGGCTGGGACTGGGGAGTTGTGCGAGCGGGAATATACACCCAGAGCCCTGGGATGGAACTCTACGCTCACGCTCACAACCTGGCACCGGTTGGGGGTGCATTTTAGGGTGCTGCAGCTTCTTGTTCTGTGGGCGAAAGATCTTCGGCATGGTAGACATGGCTAGCCTCGGACAATACTTTGAGGGGACACGAGAAAAGGAAATATAAGCTTGGCTTGAAAAAGTTAAGAATGTCCAAGTAAAGAAGCAACAAGCTTAGATCCCAGTCAATGCTTACGGTGATCTGTTTTGTTGAGGTCTCGACAGAGATTGACTCCACTGATGAGCGAAGTCCAGAAGTAATTCCAAAAAGCTAGCTGCGCGAAGTATTTGAATGCTATATAATCCAGCAGAGACGCCCATGTATGAAGTGAATCTCTCATACTGACCTTGATTTGTATGAAACTTCAACATCTAGATACGTTCAAAGGCGATGAGTTGTAGAATGTCTGAACTATCACAGCCCTTACTTGATTTTCTTCGCTCAGCTTCTAACATCAAAGCCGCTTGCAGCCACAAACGGGCCATCTGTATCACACAGAGTATGTAAGTTCCCACGGGGACCCGAGACTTCACAGACTCCGTTGAACCTACACCCCTCGGGTGTGTCTCAATCACACATGACATGATAGGCGGCCCGATCCAGTCTGAAACGTACACTCGATGGTGCATTCAAAGAGTGAGTGGCCATCAGAAAGATTGATAACATGCCGACAGAAAAAAGCTGTTTCAAGAATCCGTAAGACATCTCGTAGGAGGAGAAAGGATCATTCATAAAGTATTGAAGAACCTTGTTCAGGAGATCTAGACCGACCAGAACTTTCAGTCGCGTCTGGAATGATTTACCTCTCTAGAGACATCCAAATTCAGTGTGAGAGATTATCGGACCACGGAATATGTTTTTGCAACACGCATTGTGAAATGTATCTCAATTACTGAGATATTCGATGTGAAATGTAAAAAAAAGAATTTTGTTCACTGGTTGGTGAGAATGTGGGTTGGGCCGAGCGAACGGGAGCTGCCGCAACCACAATATCACATCGCACCGCTTGTCTGGCCTTCTTCAAATATCACAACGCAACTTTTGGCAGATTCGTCCAATTGACTCTGCAAGCACGCCGTTGCCAGTATGTCGCGAGCAGCTGAAGCAGCTATGGCTGCTAGCTATAAGAGCTTAAAGGAGAATTTCGTGTCAAACTTGACAGGCGGAGGGCTTGGAGAGATCAATATGGTCACTGCTGTCGCTCCAGTATGCTTGCTCTATATACAAAGTACTCATTACACAGGAAGCTAATGTGCCGGAACAGATCGCAATTATTCTCTGGTCGACTTTACAAACCAGGCAGTCTTTCTTTGCTTCGTATACCCGAATCGCTTTCGCTGTTGATTTTCTTCTCAATGTCGGGACTATTCTTCTCGCGATCTCTCTCTATGCAGATATGCCCCTCGTATTAAATCTCCTACTACTTGCGCCAGTTATCCTACTATATGCCATCCCGCCACAGAAAGCTACACAAACGACTACACAAAAGAAACCAAGGATACCGCAGTCGAAAACAAAAACTTCGGACCAATTAAACCCTCTTCCGAAGAAATCTTTCCTTACCATCTACAGAGGGGCAATGATGGTTATTACTTGCCTGGCTATACTAGCTGTCGATTTTAAGATTTTCCCACGGAGGTTTGCCAAGGCAGAAAATTGGGGGACATCGTTGATGGATCTCGGGGTAGGCTCTTTCGTATTCTCAGGTGGTCTTGTAGGGGCCCGACCAATACTCAGAGAACAATCTGCTGCCCGAAAGTCGAAACTCAGCACACGCTTATTCAACTCGTTGCGCCATGCACTACCCTTGATTGTTTTGGGAACCATACGATTATACAGTGTCAAAGGGCTAGACTATGCGGAGCATGTCACCGAGTATGGAGTGCATTGGAATTTCTTTTTCACCCTTGCGTTCATTCCTCCATTTGTGGCGATATTTCAATCTGCGTTCCAGCTCATCCCGTCATACGCCCTGTTGGCAATAATCCTCGGCTCTTTGTATCAAGTTGCCCTCGAATACACCAACCTCAAAGCTTTCATACTCACAGCCCCAAGAACAGATTTATTCTCGAAGAATCGTGAAGGAATCTTTAGCTTTTTTGGCTACCTCGCGATATTTCTGGCCGGTCAAGCAACTGGGATGTTCGTATTACCACGCAATGCAATGCCTACCGGCAGCCCATTAGCTCAGAGAAGACGTCTCTTGATATTAATGGGCACATGGTCAGGAGTGTGGATTATGCTCTACATGTTCACGACAAACTATAAATATGGATTAGCTTTAAGGGTGTCGCGCCGTCTTGCGAACCTTCCGTATTTCCTATGGGTTTCAGCTTTCAACTGCTCACAATTGACTGCATTCTGTTTGGTAGAGACACTGTTCTCCCCAGCTGCTCACAAAAGCCCGAATGCGAAGACAGAAAAAGAGAACTATGAACTCTCAACAAGTAGAATTCTTGAAGCGTTCAACAGAAACGGTCTGGCAATTTTCTTGGCTGCAAACTTACTCACAGGACTTATCAACCTGACCATCCCAACTTTGTTTGTCAGCAATCTCCAAGCTATGGGAATATTACTACTTTATGCCTCTGCTCTGACGGGAGTTGCAGTAGGTTTGGATGTATACGACATATCCATCAAAATGTAATGTAATACTGGATGGGGGATTTTATGCACAGTAATTTACAATGCCTCCGAGTACAGCTTGTGCCTTGAAACTTCGGTACCTGACGAAAGCAACGATAAACTTTGTGCAAAAACTTTAGACATCTGATGGAAGCATTTGATTTTGGACGCCGTGAACCTGGATGTACCAACCGTACGGGTAGCTGAGACAATGAAGCAATCCGGAGAATTCGACCTCGGCGACAGTTTGATTTATACACTTAGGTATATCGGGGTCGGCATGATCACTCATCAATTTCGGTATGACCGTTGCTATTCTTTACTGCTGTAGTTAACAAGGCATCAGGTGCCATCAACAACTCCAAGCATAAAATTTACAGTACTTTGATATAAATTAACATTTGAAGTCACAACCTTATCATTCCGGTTTGGTCAACCCCGAAGACTTTGGGCCTGGAGATCATCAGGCCTGTTTGTCGTATCGGGAAGATGAAACGAAAGCCTGGTGCACCCGCCTTGCATTTTATATAAAACCCTACTATTCTTATTCATGGATCTTCAAACCTCGACATCTGATTCGTACAATCGGGGAGAATGAAAGGGTGCAGGTACCCATCTGCAATACGACTTTAACCAGATCAGGAGTGGAGGCTCATCTCGTGGTACCTGAACCATTCCCCGTTTGCACTGGTATACTTACTCCTCTTATTTTTTCAACTTTGGCGGGTCCTTTTCGGTTCTAGCCTATATCATCGCACCGGGTAGCATATCAGGTACGACGGCAAATTCATTGTTGATGTCCCCTTTACGATGTTGACATGCTGCATGCTGTGCAACATCGCCAGGAAGTAGGAATTTAGATTTGAGGGTGGCTCGGATCTTCCGCTTTTGATATACCGGAGGATCGAATATCTCAAGTATTTGTTTCAAAACATATGTATTTGAAGAACATCTAGAATTGATATATCGAAGGGCATATATTCATAATATGCAGTCGTGGTGATTATATCACTTAGATAGCCTGATATCTCTCACCAAGAGTTTCCAGAGCTCCCGAGCATACGTTTTGGGGATAACTTTTCTTTTGGTACTCGTAATGTTTGCTTCATTCTGTAAAAAAGAAGGTTGGTTTGAAACTTAATCCTTAATATAGCAACATAATATAATCCGGGAGATTCATCAACTTCCCTTCCCTTCCAAGGGCTCCATATATATGATATAACAAGGGAACTAACTAACTAACCATTGTAACAATTCTATTCTCAGTTCATGACAAGACTTATAATTGGATCTTGAACACTTGTATTTAATGCAGCGTTTACTTATACTCGAGTATATACTCATAAAGTTGATGCCTCATTTCCGATGTTAATGCAATATAGAATTTATTCAGCTTTGTTTTTGCTTTTATTTTTATAGTATTACTCGAGTAGATACAGTATATTATAATATAATTAAAATCATGAGAGATATATACTGAGACTTTTTTTTTTTTCCTTTTTACAGAGTTAAGAGTCAAAAATCAAGACAGATAAGACAAGACAAGATTCGAAGATTGATGATTGATGATTGAAATCGAAATCCATCTCATCTAGGTAGGTAGGTACCTATCTATCTATCTATCCACTATACTATGTATATGAGTAGTGGGGTAGGAGGAGGGGGGGAAAGGAAGATGGAGGATGGAGGATGTGTTGATTGTATTGACAGTGCTGAGGATCATTACTTATAGATATACAGGACCGGTATTTTAGTTCTTGTTATCGCTCGAATTATAAGTTACTTGTAGAAGATAAATTGTTATAAAAAGAGATTCGCTGATGATGAACTTCATAACGAAATTAGGTTAGATTAAGTTAATACAAAATAAACTTTTTATACTCGTTATTCATTCTATCTATCTAGGTATCTCCATGAATTCTTTCTTCTATAATTATCGTTATTATTAGGTATGTACTGTATTTGCATTGTTTATGCTAGAGAAAAGGCGCCACAGTAGTCTTAGATATGCTTCTGGGATGAAAGATGAGGATGAGGATAACTTTTCATCTGATATCAAGGTATTACCTGGTGCTGTCTTCTTCCCCTTTTCAAAGATGGAGGTGAGGTGAGATGATGAGGGATAATAAATGATAGATAGATAGATGATAGATAACTAAATGCTTTTTATATGCTTCTATTATAATGAATCCCCCCGTCTAAGATAAAAAGAAAGTCTTACTTTTGCTCCTCTAAATGCTTACCAATCTCAGATCTACACAAGTTCTTGATTGAATCCATGATACCGACCCAGATCTTCTTCTCCCCCTTTCCTTTGATATGAAGACTACCTAAGAATGACCCAGGGCTGCGAATGTGAATGCATATCATTGAATTGAATCAGAGCCATATCACACATTGGCAATGTCGTCACTTTGCTCTATTTCTTCTCTCTGTATGATCTCCTTCACCCTCATACGATGGATATACGAGCATATATCAGAATATCGAATATCAATAAGCACTAGACCTTACCAACACAATCAATATAAAGATTATAAGTATACAAGATCCCTATTTGAGTCAATCTGCCTGGTGTAGTGCAAGTTGCATTTCTTTTCTTTTCCATAACAATCACAATCAGCAATGCCGATATACTCGTATATATATGCAATATAAGATGTTTTAAAGCCTCTCCTTCGCTCAGCTCATCAATTGACCTGCGCTTTCCTTCCTTCTCCTTTCCCTCTTTTAACCCCATCAAACCTCGCTAGACCTCCAAAAAGAAATTACAGGTACAGTAGAAGCAGAGAAAGCGAAGAGTCGACCCAAGCAAAGTTGGAATTTGACTATGGAAGTGAAGTGAGAGAAGAGGGGTTTTGAATCTTCTTAATCTTACTGGTTGGAATTGGGGAGAGATTGTTACAGGGAAAGGGAAAGGGAAAGGGAAAGGGAAAGGGAAAAGGGAAAGGAAAAGAAAGGGATATTATCGGTAATGGTAAGTCGTATTTATATCAGGTTTCATAATTCATTATTCATCATCTCGAGGGTTTGTTGTTGGCGGGTAAGATGGTGAGAAGAGAAGGGGAGAGAATAGGGAGAGAACCATGGTTCAGTTGTCCGCGAGTTACCTATTCAATTCAAATTCAAAGGCCTAGCCAAACAACTACTACCTACCCACAAAGCTGAAGTCGATATATCAATTAAAATTTCTCTATTCTGTATATAGATCAACAAGTTTACAAGGTGCTCGCCTGTACAAGTCTGTTGTCTACTTCTATCAGTTTGGTAGCGATATCCACCCCCTGAAAATTCAATCGATCTACATTACAGATATACAGTAGCAGTCTCTTTTTAAGCTTCTTATACACTGTTTTTAAGCCTAGGAAATGATACAATAACAATTACAACAATAATAATAACAATAGCAATAACAATAACAATAGGAATTAAATTAAGAAAAAATACTTAAAAAAAAGTTAAAATCCAGACTATCATCGAGTAACCAACAACCAATAATAAATCGGCAAAGAAATTTACCATTTACCATCACAAATTACAATTTCACCTTTATTATCAAATCAACAAGCAACAAGCAACAAGCAACAAGCAATAATACCAACAACACACACACACACCTCAACTTCGAACAACTTTCATTCTTTTCTTGCTTCCCCCAGCCACCCACATTTACAAACCACCACTTAGTAGTTAGTAGACGCTACTTCGTAATTAGAGAGCCGTATCGCCCTATCCACGACCGCCTATTTTTTTTTAATTAGGAACTACGACATCCTTAAGAATTATAGTCGCCAGCCGCGACCTTATCGTCGAAACTTAGATCCAACAATTGAACCATCATCCATTGGATTGGAGACTATTATCACCGCCTTTCCTAATCCCCCCCCTGTTCAAGAAACAATTACTTTCCTCTCCCCCCTCCCCCCCAAAATGTTAGTTGGTGGGAACAGGTGGTAGACCGGCGACAATCTCGCAACCATAACGCAGCTTCTATATTGTGCCTCAGCAACGGTCGTTGTAATTTCCGTTTACCAGACACCCAATCTGCGGTTGACAACAGTGCGCAAAATTTATAAGAAATGTCTTCAGCCGCTTTGCAGACCGTACCTCATCAACCAACGTCGATAGGATCGCAATCACCAGTTGCGGCACCATCATCTTCGGGGAGACCTTACACCTCGGGATCACAACAATCTCGAGACCCTTACTACAATCAAAACGCTACGAACGCGTCTCCATCATCTGCACGAAAACCATCTCGAAGACCGAGCGGCAATGGCGCATCTACAAATACACCTCCTCAAACCCACCATACTTCACCTTCAATAACAACAAACTCAGCACCGATAAGTTCTCGCACAACTAATCCTTCGAATCACACATCCCCAATGATTACAGCAGCCGCTTCAGGCTTTGCTCCAATGGCTCCGGGCGATCATCAGCGAGGTGTTCCCCCAATTGTCTCGGAAAGAACATCTTCGAACAGACCGAACCCAGCAATGGCTGCAGCGGTTTCGGCAGCAAACCATAGCTCGAGTTCTAGGAGAGGTGAATACACGAACGAGCAGCGGGCGAGAGATTCACCACGTCGGGCACAGTCACAAGATGAGCAACATAATGAAAGGAGAAATATACAAACCAATGGAACCGGCGGCGAGGATGCAGCAGCTTCCACCAATGCAGCAACCCGGGCCAGACGTAGAGCTCAGCAATCACCTGAAGCTTTACCACACAGGCCGGGTGGAAGTCGAGAACAGAGAGCTGGTCAATCCTCCTCTTCTGCACAAAGCAGATCACATCCAGTGGGTACTAATTCGCCTGCCGGACTGTCCCATGAGGCCAGCGAGGTATTAAATCGTGTGATGGTCAGCGACCCCAAGGTGGATTTGGAGCGAGAGAGAGAGAGAATGGCTGAGGCTGTACCTTCTTCCTCTGCGGCTCCTCCGGTGGTTGATGAGGCTCCTCGGCAGCAAAGATCTCGCCATGATCACACCGCCAACTCCGGAAAACGAGAAAAGAACAGCAAATTTGGAGAATATTATCTGGGCAACACACTTGGAGAGGGAGAGTTTGGTAAGGTGAAAATGGGCTGGAAGCAAGAAGGTGGTGTCCAAGTAAGTCTATTCGGAATGTAGTTTTAGTCTTATGCTAATTGATTCTTTCACAGGTCGCCATCAAGCTCATTCGCCGGGATAGTGTAGGAACGAATCCTACGAGGCTTGCAAAGATATATAGAGAAATCGCTATTCTTCGAGAGATATCCCACCCCAATATTGTTCGTTTACATGAAATGGTCGAGACGGAAAGGCAAATTGGAATCATTCTGGAGTATGCTTCAGGGGGGGAGCTCTTTGATTATATTCTCAACCACCGATACCTCAAAGATAATGCTGCTCGCCGCCTGTTCGCCCAATTGGTTTCCGGCGTTGGATATTTACATAAAAAGGGGATTGTCCACCGAGATCTGAAGCTTGAGAACCTTCTGCTGGACCGCAACCGCAACATCATCATTACAGATTTTGGTTTTGCAAATACCTTTAACCCAGACGATGAACTTGGAGATGAAATTGAGTACAACTTATCTAGTCGTGACTATGTCAAGCGGATGGAATTGGATAAGATTTTGCCTGGCGGTTCGCGGAGAGGAGACTTGATGCAGACAAGCTGTGGAAGTCCGTGTTATGCAGCTCCAGAATTGGTCGTGAGTGATTCGCTGTACACCGGCCGCAAGGTTGATGTATGGAGCTGTGGAGTAATTTTGGTATGTTTCAGTCACTGCACTTCATGGTAGGTGTACCGCTAACATGACTTCAGTATGCGATGCTTGCAGGCTATTTACCCTTCGACGATGATCCAGCCAATCCCGAGGGCGACAACATCAATCTCCTATACAAGTATATTGTTTCGACACCTCTTACATTCCCAGAGTATGTCACACCACATGCTCGAGACCTTCTCCGCCGTATTCTTGTCCCAGACCCACGCAAACGTGCAGACCTTTTCGAAGTTGCTCGACATAGTTGGCTGAGTGAATACGCGCATGTTGTTGGCTTTATCACTAGCAGCACGACAACTACTGTGGAAATTGCCAATACTACCGTTCCTTCCGACGAAACTCAAGAGACCCCACTCCTCGCTAGGAGTGCTTCGGTGCGAGAACCTAAATCACAAAAGGCCCCCGCGGCTGTTGGCGATCTTAGTAGAAAACATGGGAATGTGGACCAGGATGCAGAGGAGGCACCTGCCAAAACCTCGAAAGACAATAAGAGAAGAACCGTGCAGGTCGAATATGTGGCTCCAAGATCACAGACACAGAGAGGCGAGCCTTCTACTAACTCGTCTAGTGCTCAATCGGGTTCTAGGACGCGCGCTCGTGCTGGTAGTCAAGGTCCGGTTGAGATCTCTGGAGCTCCTCAGGGCTCGAGAAGAAACGTACCTGCGGGAGAGAAGCCATTATCCCAGGATCCTTCAATGACAAGAGAAGCACAATATGCAACCTCAGGAAGAAGACCAGGAAGCTCACAGCGACAGCAAGGTATGCCTCCACCTTCCCGAACTACTCGAGAGTACCGCGCAGCTTCAGAAATTAATCATATGGTCCCAGTAACTGGTCAACCGTCAATTGCAAGGCCAAATACCGGTGGTTCTATGACTTCTAATAGGTCTGGATCTATGGGCTTCCCTACACGGGGCTCGTATAGCCAACCTGTGGCACCAACCGTCGCTGGAACTAATGCTCATGGTCGTATGTCTCAGCCTCAGCCAAAGAGCTCGAAGAGCTACACCATATCCCCTCCTATGATGCAAGGCGAACAGACCTTCGAATACCCCACACCCGCAACCTCCCAACCTGTTGCCCCAAAATTCGCTAGGGTCGCAGGACTCCAAGGGGGGACTGCAAATATACCATCTGATAGTAGTAAAACTCACAAAAGATCGAACACAATTGGTGGCATATTTAGCAGAACAAATTCACTGTTCGGAGGTAAGTCACACTCAGATAAGTCTTCGGAGAAACCGAAGAAGTCATACCCACCAGTCAGCATGTCGAATGCCAACGTTACAAATGCCGATGATTCAAGACAATCGATGGACTCCAGACGCTCTATATCCTTTGGGTTTGGCAAGAAGAGAAGTGGAAGTATAACTGGGCGATCACAAACAGGCTCTCAGGAAAAGACTTCAAGAAGATTTTCTCTTCTCCCGGCATCATTCTCCCTCAGATCTATTGGCATTGGGAAAGATTCTAGTACACCACCTGCTAGTACTCCAACCGATGCTAACCATGAGCCATACCCTGAATTCCAAGGTAATCATCTTGATGCGCCGCAGGACAACAGGGACGCAAGGAATATTAGCGGAAGTACTGCAGACTATCAGCATGCGGATGGATCGTATGAACGGAGCCGCGCTAGTCCTGCACAACAAGAGAGACAACGTTTTGCTCCACCACAGCAACAAACCCAAGATCCTAGGTCGGCTGTTCCACCACAGTTCTTGCCACCCACAAATTTCCGCCCAGATGAATCGGCATTAACGACTGACTCTGAATCTTCCTTCGGTCAAAGTCGCCGTGGGCCATATCAAAATGAGAATAATAACTCATACGAAGACTCGCGTAGACCAGTAGGACGCAATAATGGTAGAGGCGTACTGCAGAAGAATAACCGGAAGTTTGCCGATGCTTATGAGCAAGAGCATGCACACAATGACCATGGTGGTAGTAGTGGTGCCGCTAGAAAGGTGATGGACTTCTTCCGAAGACGTGGAAAGGCTCGTGGAGAGTGAAAGTGAGCTCGAGATAGTAGTCCTTTTTGAATGATATTACTTCGACATATACACAATAAGAACTTTGCTCAATTCTGGATTATGCATAAGCTTTCAGCGAAAGTCCCGGAAACTTGCGATTCAGCTTTTGGTCTGATTGATGGCAAGCTTGCTTTCATTTCTCTAGAACGGCTTGGCGGGCCTGCTGGCTTTTGGTGCGGGGGGGGATGGAGATGGGGTGTGGGCAGGCGTTTCTCTTGCATTTCATCATATGGTTCGCCTTGTTTATTCTTTGCGCTCGACTCGACCTCGGCCTCGACCTGTGGATTGCGAGCTTGTTATTAATGGACGGCTCACTTGACACTTTTTTTGCTTCGCTGTGGATAAGATTATATCTTGGGGTTATGGGAGTTGAGTAGCATTTATGTGTCTTGTCTGTGAAGAGTAGCCAGATGGTTTATTTTCTCTTAGCTTAAAGTTGTTGTTTCGCTTTTTATTTTCTCTTCTCTCTATTAATTTGGTGACGTGGAGGGACGAAGAGATGTGTGGATGGATGGATTGATGGATGGTTATCTTATTTTGTTGGTGGATGTAGTGCGGTCTTGAATGTATCTTTCTTTCTAAGATGGAAAGCTACACTTTTGATTCTGAAGGAGTGGGGTGGAGTGGAGAAGAGAGGCATGGAGTGAAGTGGGGGAGTGATGGATGCTACGGTTGAGTAGTGGGTGTATGAAAGAGAGAAATATGAGCATGCGTGTTGGAGGAGACTTGAGATGGAGTGGTACAAGGGCGAGGGAAGAGAAAAATGGGGGAGAGGGAGGAAGATAGTTGAGTTGAGTTGAGTTGGGGATATGAACCCTGTGGTAAATCATTTGTAATAATCAAGATCGAAAAACAAGAGAGCATCATTCATCAAACCAAACTATACTTCTTGTTTTTCTTCTATGTTTCAATGATTTGATTTGTATGATGTGGTGTGTGATGTGATGAGTGTTTTGTAACATGTAATCGCGGAAGTGTACAATACAGTCAGGATAGGGAGGGAAAGGGGTATTCTATAGACTTAGTATTAAGGAGAAGAGGTTTAGCTGATATATGAGTGAAGTGGGAGGAGAATATTGTGAATATGAGATTGAAGAGCAGCTTTCCAACTTCATTTCATTATAGAGGCAAGTTTATTTATATTTGATTTTTAATACGTATTTCGAAGAGTTGACGAAAGCGCATAATTCAACTCTGAGTCTGAGAACCCGGTGAGCTCGGACCGACCCGCCGCTACCTTTGACACTCCAAGCGTCGTAGTCCTTACTCGAGTAAACCCGCATACCTTTCTCTTGTGTATACGCCACTACCATGTAATATATCCCTTCTTCTTCCTCCTCCTCCTCCTTCTCCCCCAAAAATGTATACCAATCTTCCCATACCGTGATCATGGATCAAGCCATCAATTTAATTTCCGCACAGCTCCAGACCACTCTCAACGATTCCATTCGCGAAGCTCTTAATACCCGTCGACCCCTCCTCACTCATCTCAATGCAGATACTACATGGCTCCTCTCGCTACCATATCCTGCCAAGGCGGACAATGCCCTCCACAGATCATATTATCACATATTGATTGATCCATGGCTGCGCGGTGGTCAAAGCGATGTTGCGGCCTTCTTCAGTCAACAATGGCATGCGCAGGCTAGTGCGGTGCAGAGTATACATGAGGTTGAGGATGTCATTAGGGGTATTGAGGAAATTGCGCATACGACAATTGTGGTGGGTGAGAGAAGTTGGATAGATGCAGTGGTAGTGAGTCATGAATTCACGGACCATATGCATAAGGACACTTTGCTCGAGATTTCAACTGATGTTCCTGTATTCGCGACGTCGAAAGCTGCGGCGGCGATGGTGTCTTGGGCACATTTCGATTATGTGGGGGAAATACCTAGGTTTGCGGGCGATTGGAGAGAAGATTCTGTGGCGCATTTGCCAAAGTGGGTGGGTATATCGAGAGTTGCGAAAGCGGGTGTGGATTTACTCTATTACCATTCGGCTGTTATGATTACTTTTTCTATGTCTGTGGAGGGGAATACTGGGAATGAAGGTGAAGACGAAGTAATACCTGAAGCTGTGATATATACGCCTCACGGAATTGACCCCGGAGATCTTGCAATAGTGGGGAAAGCTCAGCCGCCTATTCAGACTCTCGCGTTGCTACATGGATTACAGGATATTTCATTGCCTCGAGCACAATTGAATAAAGGGGCACATAATGGATTGAAGGTTCAGAGGTTATTGTATGCGAAATACTGGATTGGTACACACGATGAGGTCAAGACGGGTGGAGGGATCGTGAGTTGGTTTTTGAATCGAAAGGTTGTGACGTTAAAGGAAGCATTGGAAAGGGAAGTCAGAGAAAATGGAGAGAGTGGTGATGTAGAAAAGGTAGGGGATATCAAATTTTTGGAACTGGGAAATGGTGAGAGTTTGATTTTGGTGTAATGGTGATGGATTTGGGACATATAAGGAACATACCCATCTTCAACTGTTCCAAGTGGCTAGGAGATAATCGCAGCGAGTGTATCAGACGTAATGTCAAATTTTGCAAGTCGAGCATACATAATAGAAAGAATGAAAGAATTGCCGGCCTGTCTTGGGAAAAAGCTTTATGCAGCTATTGTCCGAGATTCACCTTTGTCATAATTACAGTACTATTCTCTTTATCCCTTTATATTTCCCTTGTCTATGCTAGAATTTTCGTGTTTAGACTTTCACTTCTCTACTAGTTACTAGCAATTACGGAAGTTAAGTTCTTATAATACATTTATACACTATTAGCAAATCATTCAGACTAAATACTCCCAAAAAGAATTCTAGACCTCAGATTAAAAATGGCTTCTCGTGGGTCAAAATCACGGATACCCCGTACTACTCTTGCAGAATTATATGGCCATTTGAGAGTCCTACCCATAAGAGGTGTCTTGCCATTAAAGAGTGGTCTCACGCCTGTCTCATCAAAACCCAATGCAACCAGTACCGAAAAATTGTTTGTCGATGATGTGCGTTGGATGCAGAGACAAAGCTCTCAAAGTACGTGGTTTTTAGTCTCTGATCATCAGAGTATCTGCACTTGCTAATAGATATTACGGGCAGACTTTACCGCTGCGGAATTGGAGAGCCTAGATGCCCTAGCGCCGCTTTATAAAGTTTACGAAGTGGAAGATGTGGTGTCCGATAGTGTCGATATTGCTATTCATCCGGTGATGCGCAGAGTAAAGTGGAATCCTCCGCGGCCAAAACATTTGGCGGAATTTCCTATGGGAGAAGAGAGGGATGGGTATTGGAATGCTGTGAGTTTTGTTGTTTTAGTGTAGCTTTGGAAGTGGTCGTTTTGATGCTAGGGGTAGTATACAAACGATGTTGTTTGGGAAGCCTTGCTTCCTTCTATCCGAATAGCAAGCTTGTATCTCTCGAATGCGGATTTGTGGCCATGGTAATTATATCCCCAAATGTAGTCTTCGTCAATAATAAACTGATCTATAGGTTCGATGCATTATTTGCCGCGGAATGGGCTGACATCCCCGAGAAAGAGGTTCCCAAAAACTCCATACAAACAGGCTGGAAACGATTCGTAGCCAGAAATCCCATGGTACATGGAAGTGAAGAAAGCAGAAGAAACGTCCGAGACAAAATCCTCCACTCCTCCAAAAACATATTTTTCTGTCTCTCCAGCGCCTATGTCGATCGAGCAACGGGTGTCCAAGAAATGGAAGTGGAGCATGGTTCTTTGAGTGCAGTCACGGTTACAAATTTGGCACATGATATTTCGGTCGTGACGTTGTGCTTGGAACCTTTGGAAGCCCTGCTTCCGGGAAATGTCGAAAGATTGAATGGTGCAGAGAGATGTTTGGTTCAGGTAGATATTGCTACTACTATTTTACATGAGCTTGCTGTATGTTATGTTATGTTATGTTTGGATGGCGAGGATCATACATTACTTCTTTTGCGTTTTCTGACTCGTGATAGCATGCGCTTTATCAAAGGGAATATATAGTTGCCTTTCCGGATTATGGGCCTAAGGAGCTATTTTATCAGCAACAAATAATTTCGGAACTGTGAGTCACTCACTCATTACTATCCACTTTGACTTTTGGCTGATAATTGTAGTGGATTTTCCGTGAGTTTTTTGTTTGTGTATGGGTTATTGGCTATGGAATACTGTACTGATTTGTCCTCGATCGCTGGTAGCTAGAGCAAGATGTATGTGATACTCTGTCCGAAAAGTAAATCATTAATCGTTAATATCGATGCAGATATTTGGAGGAGCGGTATCGGGCATTCGTACTGGGCAGTTAGAAGGTGCTCTAGCGTGTCTGCGTAAGTGTATCCAATATCTCTTTACTCTCTCTTCAATATCCTAGTTTGGAATGTCTTCCGAAAATAGCATATCTTCATGGTCATGATTAGCATACGCTGACTTATCATTCGCTTCAGAGGGGGGAGATATCTCTTAGTGAGTACCATCTTCCAACAACAACAACAACAACAACAACAACAACAACAACAACAGTAACAATAGTATCGTTCATCTCACATCACGCAGTGGTATAAATAGCCGCTATAGTATCAATATGGGCAATCCTGTACATTCAGTTTTACTCATGAGCCACCAGTATGTGAGCACCGTAATTCTACGTACTTGTGTTGTTTCTATTTTATCTGCGTGTTTGAGAGATTTTGCTAGTGCTAATGTAGTGCCTATACTGATAGAACTTTCGGAAAACTATATTTTGGCCTGTTCCTGTTACCTGGCATCGTAAGTAGTGCTTAATCATGTTTTTACTTCTATATACTCGTTTGCTACTTTGCTGCTTTGCTGCTTTGGAATATTTTCGTTTCGACTTGTCTTCTTGAAATTGCATTGCTTACTCTCTTTAAAATCCACAATAATTATCAATCGCCGACACATTGACGTATCTCAGTCAACATGGGAAGCAAGCGCAGATTCGAGGGTTTTGTTAAGAAGTAAGACAATATTGCTTTACTCGAGCCCAAGAAGGAGCTGACAAAATCAGGTATGGAGCTCATACCGTTGAGTACACAAAAGTTGTTGGCACGGAATATCTGGTAAATAGAAGGGGTATCTGTGCTCCTCTAGCCAGAGATCCATTCGTCGAATTCGAGGGGATACCAAACATGAGACGGCGAACCAGGTCCGGTATGGATAGATTGGAAGACTCGGAACGCTATTTCAAACGTCGGCGAGTACAAGCCGTTGTGCGAAAGGCTTATACGCTTCGAGCGTCACGGCGCAACCGGGAAGAAATATCTCAAACTAATAGCCTTTATCAAAGTATCGATATCAGAGATAATGATCTACCACCGTGTCCTCGATTCGACGAAACTAGCACGTATTTAATTGATAATCGCCGTCAGTTGGCCCTTCACACAATGTGTTTCGTGATGCCCGAGAATACCTTGGTAGGAAATAATCTTCATCCATCTCAAGTTCTGAATCACTATGTTGATGTTGAAATACAGCTAACATGGTGCGTAGCGTGATTATATTCTACGACTAGGAGGACTAGCAATCAGTGCTTATGAATGGCGTGCGTACCTACTTCACTGCGAAGCATTACCGTATCTTTTCAGGTAATTTCTAATACCTCCATCTCAGACATCGGTGCTAACAGCATGGAAGGTTCAAGCCAGAAGGCAATAAATGGGGCGAAACCTCGACATATCGTGGTTCCATCCAACTTCATGCCTCAAGCTGGCCAAAGACTGATCTCACACCATTAAAACCACGACGCGAAATTCCACAAATTGACGACACAGTACCATTTCTGATGGCTCTCACTGCTATCAGAATGAAACGTAATTCATTATCTTCATCGGATGAAATGTGGATCAGTCCCATATTCTGGGACTTCAGCGCCGAGGAATTCCTGGCTGCTTATAATGCTGATATTAAGCAGGGAGGTACTGTAACGAGTAACTTCAATGTGACGAAAATGTCCGAAGAAGAACTTGAAGATATCTTGTGGCATCTGGCTTCTACTTCATCTTTGCTTACGTGAGTCACACTTCTATTTGTGATATTGCAATGTATTGACTGGTGTTGATTTTAGTTGGGCTCCATGTGGTATCATTAGACGTTTACCACTGACGGATCCGGAATCCCAGGAATTACTTAGGGGGACGTCAACTTTTGATGATATTGTTTTTCCGAAAGGTCGAGGATTGGTTGATTGGGATGGAGATTATGAATCTTTATATGAGGTAAGAAGATCCCTCAGTTATCCTACGAGTATTTTCGGCCAAATCATCTCCTAATCACCTGAGGAACCCGCATCCCCATTCCTCAGGTAACTCTTCAATGCGAACAAACCTCACATCAACAACCCCAAGCTAACCATCCCCCCACATCCCCCAGTGGGACAACACAGAAATGGAAACCGACCAAGAAATTCTAAACCAAGACCGCGGTATCACATTTGCAGATGGCTGTGTCTACAGCTACAGACAGTATTATCACAACGAGGAACTCAAGGAAGCGCGTGCGAGAGAGGCGGCCGAAGGTCATCATTCGTTGGATTATATTGCGCTTATGGATGATTACCTTAAGAATCACCCTGGTGCAGGTGTTCAGGAAACTTTTGATCGGGCTTTTTGGCCTTCTTGGAGGTTTGTTTTTTATTTGCTTGCTGGTTTTGCTTTTTTTTGGAAATATATCACCTGATTTTTTGGGGGTTTCTCGATTTCACACTGCACTTCCATTTTTCTTTTCTTTACCTTTACCTTGTTCGAGGATATTTATAAATTATTCGTCACATCTCCAACTCCCAATGCGAATTTTCATTCCTCCTTATATTCCAAATCCCCCATTTCCCCCATTTCCACATAAGCAATACAATACAAAAGCTAACTCCAAGGTGCGAACACAGCGTAGGAAATCCAGACGGATCGACAGAAGAAGCATTTGTGGAATTTAAAGAGGGGCTTTGGCACGAGGAGATCGATGTGAATGAAGTGGTTGAGCCGTTGGATCTCGCGTCGTTGGCGGGGGGGGGGGGATGGTTGTTCTGGTCAATGATGAGTTATGCTGTAGGGAAGGGGGAAGGGGGAAGGGGGGTGAGAGGGGGGTGTGAGTGGTGAGTGGTGAGTGATTTCTGTTGTTTGGGGTGGGTGTGGATTTGGATGTGGATGTGGATTTGGATTTGGATGTGCGAGAGGGGTTATAAGGATTCATATCTGTTTTTTTGGTCCAAATTGGTTGTAGACTCGTACTCGTATTGTAGTAGGTATTTGGATTGAATTTTAAGGTATAGATAGATATACTCTCGTGTACAGTCAGTGTCTTTAGATAATGAGTGGGGAAGAAAATAAAGGGGTTCGTTAATCGTTGTGGATTTGATGGGATGGGATGTGATGTGATGTGATGTGATGTGATTTTATGGGAAGATATGTGGTGGGAAGAGGTACAGGAAGAGGAAGAGGAAACAAGTTCTATAGGTTCATATAATAGGATAGGGATTGTAGAAATTTATATTTCATAGATAGTATATAGATAGTACAGCACAGGAAGGAGTATAGTAATCGGAGAGATGTGTTGTTGTCTGTACGAGTTATCTTATACGAGTAAATGATGGCTTGCATGTAGCATGAGTAGGAAAGTGTACTGGATATGATATTGTTTCCAGGTGATTTGTTTCTAGAGGTATGGGTATGGTATTGGTATTGTTATAGAGTAGAGGATAATGTCTAATTACTCATCGGATATCGGATATCGGATATCTGTCAATGGTTTCTTTCCGAGAAATAGGTACATTTTCCCTAGGCAAAGGTTATTTCTTTTGCAGGTTATGTAACTACAGTATACAGTATATGTAATTATTTGATGTTTGCTAGGGAGAGGGGAGAGTAGTACCTTACATGAATTAAATCATCAGTGTTGGCTTTTCTGTTTCTCTTCTCATTCCATTAACTGTCAACTATACAGTAACTTATAAATTTACAAATAGTACCAATCCATCAATCGACTTTCCATATAAACAAAAAAACTATCATCTCATCTCAATTCATCTCAAACCACTCTCCCCTGTCTCGTTTCATCCCATCGGCGTCTGTACCGATAATCCCAGCACCCATCTTCCAATCCACACAAACCACCCCATAATTCCCTTTAAGCGAAACCATAAATGGGGAAACCGACCCGAAAGACCCTAGTTTCAAAAGTTCCAAGTATATTAATTGGCGGTTCCTCAATTTCGATGTTTAGGGTCCTTTCCTTCCTATCTTTCATTTCTCTCCTATGAAAATTTGAGAAAATTACAGTACCGGTATTACTTTTCGATTTTTTTCCCACGTCAAGGACTCAAGATTGGGCGAGACGCTAGGTTTGGGAGGAGCACTCTATTTGGTTCTTATGGTGTTATTTGTTTGGGTAAACTTTGCAGAGATCCAGTTAATGGTTTCGGTGATGGGGGTGTCGGCATACTGTAGATTGGATCTTGCATGGATGGAGGGAGCGAGGAGGTTAGGATTAATATATCTGCATCCAGACTTTATTTGACTTCGGGTTTGCCTTCCCTTTAGAAGTCTATATGGGTGATGTTTGGCAGGAGGCTTGAGATGAACAGGATGGAGTGATGGGTCGATGGTCGATTCAGATTGATGTGTGTGATGGTGGTCCACTGCACTCTCCTCTTTTTACTCAATTGAAATTTCATATTGCCATGCATGATTGTTTTGGGGGTAAATCATTTTGGCCGAGATTTTCATATAAGTATGTTTCTTTCCTGTGGAGAGGAGAAGACTTCTTGTTCTCTTGTTTCTTCATCTCGTCTTTCTTCATTCAATCTCGCCTTGCGAAATATACATTCTTTTTTTTTGGTGCAAAGTCGCCTCTTACATTCATTCATACATACATTTCTGTACATTCATCCATCCAGCTAGTTCTGGTAGATTTCGCTCGATCAATTCATCAATTCATATCATACAAACAAAAAACCCAATCTCCATTCTCTCACCATACAAAAAACATTTCATCTCGACGATAAAATCTCCCATCCCTCAAAATGCAATACACCACCGCCATCCTCCTCACTGCCGCGGGGCTCATCTCCAGCGCATCAGCCCACGGCCGCATCCTCACCCCCACTCCACGCTCCCCCGGTGCCGCCATGGCCTCTGCATGCGGTACGCAAGTAGAAGGCAACCAAGCCTCTGACCCCAACGGCAACATCCAAGGCATGCTACAAGTAGCTGCTTCGCAAACCGACTACGACGCCGCCGCCTGCAACATCTGGCAATGCAAGGGCTACAAGTACGCCGACAACACGGACAAAGTTCAGAGCTGGACTGCGGGAGAAGTCGTGCCGTTTACTTTTGATGTGGCGGCTCCGCATACGGGAACTGCGAATATTTCGATTGTGGATACCGCCAGTAATACCGTTATTAAACAGTTGTTGTATTACAGTGTTTTTGCATCCACGGCGACGGGGGTCACGGCTAATGAAACAAAGTTCAGTGTTACCATTCCTGAGGATTTAGGTACGCAGTGTTCGACGGCTGGTGCGTGTATTATTCAACATTGGTGGGATGCCGCTTCCATCGATCAAACCTATGAATCCTGTGTGGATTTCACCGTCGGTGGTTCAGCGGCTGGATCCTCTTCTTCAGCGGCTGTTTCCAGCGTGGCTTCTTCTACTATTGTGGCATCGACTGTTGCTGCTTCTTCTTCTTCTTCAGTCGCTGTTGTCGGTTCTTCTAGCTCGGCTGTCGTCTCGTCGGTTAGCTCGGTGGCTGCGGTTATCACATCGACTGCCTCGGGCGCCGTTCAAACTACCACTTTTGCTGCTCTGCCTACTACTCTCGCTACAATTACAAAGGCGAGTACCACATCTAGTGCAGCGGCCGTTGCTACTTCTGCGGCAGCTGAGGAAGATGATGATACTTGTGATGCATAAGTACTCTCACAAAATTGAAGTTCTCATAGGAAGTTCTGGGTCGATGTTGTATATTTCTTTTAGGGGAAATTGAAAAGGGGAGATAGATGTATGTAGATGTAGATGTGGATTGTTGTAGAGGGAAGTTCAAATTTCTTGTACATATAGTTGTTGACAGCAATGAAAGGGTTTCAAATCATTCATTATATAAAGTGTTCCAGCTCGATATCTCATGTGCGAATTATACTCGAGTATATACTATGACATGCCTTCACTTCCCAGTTCCCACTTCCAACAGAATGTATTACCCCTTTAAAACAACAACAGGCAGACCCCCAGTATACACACATCTACATCCAGAACAGTGAAAACATCATAAATATTCAAACTGCCTTTTCCAACTCTTCAACTCTCACCCCCCAAAATGACATTTTATATTCCCCAATACTCGATATCACCCCTTTAAATAATAAAGTAACAACAGACCAAAAAATCCCCAGAATACACAAATCCCCAAATCCACAAATCCACATATCCACATGCAGAATAGTAAAGAAATCAAAAACATCCCTACAAACTCCATATTTTATTTAATCTTTTCTTTTCCTTCCCCTTTCTCCCTCCCCTTGACTAACTTCCCCAACTTCTCCAAAATCATATTTTATATCTCATAATTATCTCATACCGCATTCTCAAATTTTCATAAAATATTCACATGATGAACTACATAAGCTTTTCAACCTGATAGACTTCATTTATTCAATTTAACAATGGAAAACTCATGAGAAAGAGAAAAAAAGGTACTCGAAGAATTGTACTGTAATGTGCTGTGTAAGAGGTTCTTGGGCTTTTGGATTTCTTTTGGATTTGGAATTTTGGAATTTTGGATTGGACTGACTTGAAAGATCGAATTTGAACTTTTCAATTTTGATATTTGATATGTTGTGGTTTGTTGAAATTGATGTACTCGAATATATATTGTATAGTATAGTTGTGCTTGTGCTTATATAGATGAGATAGTGGTTGATAT